CCTAGTTTATAGTGATGTGTTGGTGATATTCAAGGATTCTTGGGCTAAGCTTGAATAAGCAAAATTGTTTCTAAAAAGAAAGAGCAAAATAAAATGCTATTTAATGACATCCTACTTATTCTTGTGTTGAATTTCTTTGCTCGTTTTATCTACAAAACCTAGCTTTAAGGTTGTAAAGCCACTTATCAACACAAGCATCCTCGCTGTGGAATGTAATTGCGCAGTTCCTTGGTTTTCTTCAGATTTATCTGTTATGAGAGAGAGATTATTGAAGAAGATGCCACATGCCAGGCCGCTTCCTGATTCCAGTGACGCTGTTCGCTAGCAGTGAATCTAACCAAGATCTGTGGCAGGAACATGAGGTTTCTTTCCTCTGTTTAATTTGATGGCCGCTATGATGCTGACGCAGTACTGTACTCTGTGTGCATGTTTTGAGGAATGTTCAAGATGGTTTTGATAGGATAGTTGCTTTAACTATCATTGTTTTTTGGAACAGGCATCATGTGAACTTGCTCTAGCACATTCTCATCTTCTAACAAGTGCAACACTGTATTGTAAAATCCTTGATTCTTGTTATCTTTAAATATTTGAATTATTTGCATTTATTTTTTCATATTTATGTCAAACTAAAAATTAAAATCAATTATAATTATTTACATTTATTAATTTACCATGCACTTTTATCCAAAATACTTGAAAATAAGCAATTCATAGTTTATGAATAAATTGTGTGTGTCTATGTGACACACACACACACACAATTTATTCATAAACTATGAATGACATTTATGACATTTAAATGAACATTTATTGAATTAATAAAAAAAACTAAAAAACTTTCACCTTTAATTGATCTTTATTAATTAATGACTATTGTATTTATACATTTAATAAATAATTATTTTATAATTATATTTTATTTATATTTTAGTTATTAATGATAATTGTGCATATATTTTTATTATTTTATTTTTATATATTTGCATGCTATAAAATAAACCACAATGTGTGTGTGTGTGTGTGTGCATTTGTATAGATAAGTAGATAGTATATAATTTTAGTATATAATATTTTTAATTGAAATGTTAATTTGTTTTGGGAATGATACCTGTGGTGGTAAATGTATAATGTAAATAATGCAAATGTATAGTCTTCGTACACATCAGTATTTTCTTGCATAATTGACTTACCTCTGCGACTCGTTTTTGCAGCATAAAAGTTAGTTTGTGTAAATGACATTTGAATGTTGACTTAGAAAAGCTTTTCCTAAAAGTTTAAAACAGCTTTAAAAGCTTTAAGTGCTTTAAGTGCTGTACAGTTTGTTGAGTCTCTGTTCTCTCTTTCCGCAGTTGATGTGAGTGCGGTGCTGCCAGTGCTGCCACCGCCTTCTGCCATCCCCATGGACCTGCGTGTGGATCACCAGTTCGCCCTGGCGCCGACGGACCCGGCCCAGCGCGAGCTGCAGCTGCAGCAGGAGCTTCTGGCCCTCAAGCAGAAACAGCAGATACAGAGGCAGATCCTGATCGCAGAGTTTCAGCGTCAGCACGAGCAGCTCTCGCGCCAGCATGAAGTACAGCTGCAGGAGCATGTCAAGGTGAGGCAAATGCCGCTGACTCAGGGTGGGTGATATAGAGCACTGCAGGGATGAGAGGTTTTCGTTGGCTAACCTGGAAGTTTGCATCACCTTAGATCCTCCACAAAAAAAAACAATAGGGTTTCTCC